AACTATAAACGTCTCTGCCTCACCTCCTCCCCCCTCCTCCTTTTTGGTATGCTCCCCCCCCCCTCCTCCTCCCTCCTCACCGCCGCCCAATCTGATTCCTTTCCCTTACTTTTGCTGCCTCCAACTTCCACCACCCTTTCCCTTCGTGCTTTTTCCGCTTTCCCTTTGTCATCCCTCCTCCTCCTCCTCCTCCTCCTCCTCCTCCTCCCCTCTGCTTTCTCAAACCCTGCTGACGCAGCAGTAGTGAAACACAGTACTTAATGACAACAGCTACAGATCTCTCTGGAAAGACAAACTGCTCATTATTCTGAAAAACACAGCTGCATGTCCACACAGGCTACTAACAGCTAACCACTAATAAAGTTACTGTTTGTCAAAGTGAGGCGTCATAAAGCCTAAAATCAAGCTGCATCAGAACAGAGTAACCTGCTGCAGTGGCTCAAACCTTCGCTGTCAGAACAGAGGGAGTTCAGGGAGGACAGAACATTTCCTCTCAAATTATCTCAGTTTCTAAATGTTGACAAACATTTCCCTGATTAGATTCATTAACCAGGAGAGCAGAGAAGGCTCAGACAGAGAGAGAGAGTAAAGCTGGTGCATGTACCGGCTGAAATGACCCCAGTTATCTGCTGTAAAACAACCATCACTGAATACCTGGTCAGCAAACATGAAGTTCAACTGAGCTGTAATTACCAACTTCTTCCACTAGAGGGCACCTGCCTCATTTTATAAACCCCTCTTCTTCTCTTCCAGCCGAGTTCAAAGGACCTCGTGGCAGAAAACAAAGGTGTCTGTAAAGAGTGAGTAAAGCTTCAGTCCTATCAGAAAGACGGATTACCTGCCTGTACTGCTCTCATGCACTGATGATGTAATTCACTACAGGTGGAAGAAAACAAGATAAAGAGATCAGAGCTCAACACATGTCATCCAGGCACCGACAAACGTTTACTAAATGTACCTGTTAGTTATGTTGAACAGGATTTCTCAGTGAGGTCTTTCCAAAGGTGACCTGCTGACCCTCTTATCGTTCACTTCATGAAGCAGTGAACTGGTGATGGTTTCAGTGGTGACAGAGACGGTTACGTAAAAAGTCCAAAGTTCGTCTCTCCGAGGACCCTTCACCTCGATCTGAGTAACGTCGCTCTCCACACCAGAGTCATGACTCCTGCCATAAAACTGATTCAGGGTCAGATCTGAATGAATCTCATTATGTTTTGTCCCTTTCAGAAAGACGTAAAGCAGTTTTGTATCTCAACAGAGCTGCTAAAAGGAGAAGCTGCGTGAATCTTAATGAAATCATTTAAATTTGCAATGTTTCTTTAAATCCTGCCACGTTATCTCCGTTTAGCTGCTTCACCTCACACAGCTGCTTTACTAACGAACAAGAGACTGAACACAACTGATTGTCATCTGGTTTCCGCGGTGTGTAAACCCTCGTTTTAATAACCCAGGAAGTCACCCTCCCTTACACTGATTGTTGTAAAACCTGTGTTGTTACCTGTACTGATGAGTGCTAAACATATAATAGTTATTATTATTGCATCTTTGGGTCGGGTTTGACAAAAACAAATTTAATTATAAATTTTTGTCTCACTTTAAACTACTGAACGGGCCCCGAGTTGTCTGATAAATGTGGCTCATTATCAATTACTGCCATGTGAACTCATTAAACCATATTAACAGTTAAAAATACATCATTTAAGCCCACTACATAGACGCAACTGAAGCTGCCTTCACTGCTCAATTATAACTTTAACAATTAGTAGATTAATCATTCGGTCGACAGAAACTCTCTTTATGAAGCACAAATGTTTAAATTAAACTGAATAGATTTTAGTTTGGGATGCTACAAGTTTAAGGACGTCGCCTGTTTTAAACCAACCGTACCAGAAAATAATCTGTGGAATAATAAATAAGTGTTGAGTTGCAGCCATAGTTCTGTTCGGACATGAAACACATCCTGGTATCGGTCCGATCGTCAGAGTAAAGCAACAAATGATCCGAGCTGACGGGAGATTTATGCTCAGACCGCCGCTCTGCGCTTCAAGCTGCATAATGAGGAACACTCGCTGAGTGGTTTCTAGGTCGGAGAACCCTTTGTGGGCCTGCCAGTGTCGCAATGCAGGGAGGAGGAGGCTTTAATTAAACAGGAGATCCCTCCAACAGTCAAAGCGTCTGCAGCTCGTCCCAAAGAGCAAAGTCCTGATGCTTTAGTTGCACAGAGGGTGTCGGCTCACAGTGTGTGTGCAGGCTTTAATATGACCGTGTGAATATTAGCTGACCAGTATCAGTGTGGATGAAAACAAACTGAGTCATCCTTTAAAATGAAGACTAAGCGGTGTTGTCTTCAGAGAGACAGCGGAGCCTCGGGGGCGATTCATCACTTTCTAAAAGCCCTGAAGGAGGCAGCGGCCTGATAAACCATCTTTATCTCTCTTTACATCAGTCTGACTCTCACACGTCGCCTCAGGCTTCAACTAAGACGAGCTACAATCACGGAGTTTCACAGATCACAAGATTTTCAACATGCCCTGGACTGTAACTAAGTACTGTACTTAAGTAGAAATCTGAGGTACCTTTACTTTACTCGAATATTTTCTACTTCTACTTCATCTCAGAGGGAGATTTTGTACTTTTTACTTCACTACATTTATCTGACAGCTTCAGTTACTTTACAAAGTCAGATTTTAACACATGAAACACTGCAAGAGTTTATAAAATTATCATTATTATTATAAATTAAACTCCGACAGTTTATACAAATCCAGCTGAAACCATTAGTCAGTTTATAGAAAATCCTTTTTCCATGTACAAACATTTCATGGTTCCAGCTGCACAAACGTGAAGATTTGCTGCTTTTCATTACTTTAAATAATTTGAATGTTTGGACGGTTGGTCGGACAAAACAAACGTTATGATGGCGTCACTTTAAGCTCGGGGTAACTGACGGCAGAATTAAAATAATCATCAGCTGCAGTCTGATACTAAACAACTACAGCAGCAACATCCTGCTTTACATCAATGATGAGGAATAATAATCTAGTGATACTAACAGTCACAGTGGACATTTTACTGCACTGGGGTACTTTTAATACTTTAAGCACATTTTCCTGATTATACTTACATACTTTTACTTTTGTAAAATTGTGGTATTAGTACTTCTAGGATCTGAATACTTCGTCCAGCACTGGTTTTTAATTTAACTCTAACTGTCATGTTTGGGTCACAAGTGAGCGCCAGCTGTGGTGTAACGGGCCCGTGTACAGTGTGAACTTTATCCCCTGAGAATCGGCTTCTGTTGCGTCTTACACCAAACCAAGTTTAAGTCCCCAGTTTGTAAAAACATTTTGGCAAAGTAACCCACCAAGGTAAATATTTAGAGCAGCTGGTGGATCTGAAGTCAACGCCCTGCAGAGTTTATGGCTAAATGATATTCAGTCCCGTGTTCCAGGGTGGAGGAGAGGTTGTAAAGATAAGAAATCAGAGTGGCAGTGATTGAGTCAGTAACAGGGCGTGGCCGGTAGCTCTGTGTGTAGCTCAGAGTGGTGTTGGGCTCTTTAAGGTGGTGCTGCGTTTCAGATTGGCATCTCGAGTTATTTCCAGAGGAGACAGAAGCTGAAACCACTTGGAAACGTAACTCAATCTGACAGCAAAAATGCTGCGAGGGCTGTACGAGTGTTTGTAGGTGGTGAAAACGTGAAAACACCCCCTTCTGTCTCTGCCACACGATGTCTCATTTCTGCTCATTAAAAAATAAATAATAAAGTCTATCGTGAAAAAGTTCATTTTGTCCGTGATTTAATTAAAAAGTGAAACTTTCATATATTGTAGATTCATTAGAGTGAAATCTTGATAGCAGCTTAAACACTGCATGATTTTTGAAATTTTGTCTCACTGTAAAGGTAAATCCTCTGCGACATAAAGCCAAAGCTCACATTTACATGCTCTGATGGTCAGCCACGCCTTGAGTATTCACAATGAATGTGTACAACACGGCACGCCAGCACCTGTGGACCATTCTGGTTACTGACAATTTGTTTGAAAGCTCAGAGGCAGGTAGAAGTTTGTTTAGTTCAATAATGCTGACATGGCAGAAATGTACTGCCTTCATTATCTATGTGTCGGAAGCACTGATGTTTATAGATGAGGTGGCTGGAAAAGATGTGGACAGCGTGGATTATTCATTTTGCAGAGAGAATCTAGAGCTAAGCTAGCTACGTTTTACTGCATAGACTGTAAACCAAAATGTCCAACGAAGCTGCAATTCGGCCCAACTCTAAAGTGAGTAATGCAGCTCAAAAACCAGGTCAGAAACGTACAGTGTATGTTCAGCTCATGGAAATCTAAACTCCGGTATCTCAAAATGTATTTGAACTTTAGAATAAAGAATTTATAATACAGAGGGATCGACTCTAATCAGCTGATTAACTCAAAACACATGCAAAGGTTTCCTGAGACTTTAATGTCTCAGTCTGGTTCTGGTGCTCAAATTAACTTTTCTACAATATTAAAAATATGCATAAGGAATTTTTTTTCTCCAGTGGATTAAAAAAATAAATCAAATACAAAAAGCGAGCTACTGTTCAAAAATGAATGTTAACATCACATTTTACTCACCACATCTTAAAAGGATTCTTCTTGAAGAAATAAAATGATCAGGTACACAGAAATGGTGTTGTTATTATAATGAGACAGAAAGGCACAAAATGCAACAAAAGCAAAAGGTCGAACAGCCACACAAATTAATCCAGACTTTAGGAAATGCAAGGGGTTAATTTTCAAAGGAAATGCAAAAAGGGTCGATGCAAGAAAGAAAAGGAGAAAGTGACGGGATCTAAAGTACTGTAGTACACTGGCTGCTGGTTGGTTGGGAGAAAATAACTTAGGGGGAACAAAAGAGTGAAGATGAAAATGATGCCGATGAACATGGAAGTGCCAGTAAAAACTGGGGAGGATGTGGGGTGAGGGGTGGTTTCCATGCCGGGACTGGTTTATTTTACCTGCTCTTATGTTCACGTTTGGCATCTTTAACAGTTTCCCGCCCTCCGCGCTCTTCTTAGTGACCGCCTCCTCTGGTTTGCGGACAGGGGAATGGATGAGAGGAGCTTGGGGTGGGGGCTGCTGAATGTCGAGCTTCTCCAGCTCGGCCTTGCTCTTCTGGGGGGAGGCCTGGGTGAGGAGGAGGTAGGAGCTCTGACTTGGAGCCTCTTCTTCGACCTCGGGGGGCGGGGCTACCTTTGTCATAGGCTGAGCAGAAACCGGAGACGCGTCTTTCTGCCCGAAGCTCAGATCGTCATCATCCATGGGGATCTCTGGAGGTTTGGAGGCGGCAAACTTGGATGTATCCAGAGCCTCAAGAAACTCGTCGATAACGCCTCTGGGTGGTCGCTCAATGAACTCAAACTCCTCAGAGGAGACTTCGTGCTCAGAGACCTCCTCAGCCACCTCTGGCTCGTCCACCTCCATCGCCAGGTCCTTCTTCTCCGTTTCCACCTGGAAGCTGGCGGGGTTCTTGGCCATGGCCTCCAGGACTGGAGACAGGGAGTCTGCTGTTGGCGACTCCGAATCTGAATCCTCAGCGGGGGTCTTTTTGCTCTGGAAGTCCAGCGGCTCAAACTTTTCGCTCATTTTGGATGAATCGTGAATTGAAAACCAATCTTTCTGCTCAGACTTGACAGGTTCTTCTTTGACCTTAGCGGGAGTGGTTTCCTCAGCCTCTTTGACCAGATCGAATGCGCCAAAGCTTTTGCAGTCTTCGACATGTGTTATGTCGGTCGTTTTCACTTCCATCGCCTCAGTCATCTCCTTCAGCAGGGACACTTTAGCATCAAAGGCAAACGGGTTGTTAGCCGACAGATTTATCGGAGGGTTGGGCGACTCCATCATCCTCCGTTCGAGGATCGGACTCTGCTCCTCCGGGGTTCCCTCTGAGGACCCAGAGTCGATTTTGTCAGGGTTCAGCGGAGAAGACTTCAGGATGTCGGGAAGCGACGGCGGCAAAGGAGAATCCTCCTCCTCATCCTCCTCTTCTTCTTCGTCGTCATCTTTCAGACCAGATGAGAACTGATTCACTGATTGCATGAGCGAGTCAGCGGCCATCTTGCTAGTATCAAATGTTTTCCCCTCATCTAAGAAAGATGGGGCGGTATCCTGGGATTCTCCAGTCTGGCCATACTGGACCAGATCTGGAGTAGGACTCTCGGACATTTTTGAGGCCTTGCTGTCGGACTCTCCAAAATGGGAGTAGCCACTGTCTGCCAGTGGGGAATAACCTTCAAATGGGTTATTCTTCTTCACTTCATACATCAGATCATCATCTTCATCGGACTGGTTGTCGTGCAGGTCTTGCTCATACCTGGAAGAGCTAATGGGAGCTGTGTCCTTGGAGAAGGTATCCATGGAGAGCTTGGAGTTGTCTTGAGATGCTAGTAATGGTGAATCCCAGTGCTCTGTTGGGTTAGAGGAGGCAAGGTGAGACTCAGGGACCATCATCTGGGGGTTCACTGGGGAAGGGCCAGTGGAGGACCTGTCTGAGCTAACCGGCTTCTCCTCGGGTGAAAAGGAAACTCCGCTGTCTTCACATGGATTATGAGGCCCTGGGTCTTTCCCTAAACTCAGGTAAGGACCTGCTAACGGATCTAGAAGGTCTTCCTTATTCTTACTACGGCCCGGTCCAGAGTCACCCTCTTCACCCACCCAAGGCATGTCCTTGGAATGAGTAGTGGGGGGTTCAGTGGAGAAGGAGCCAAAGGGCGCAGCAGATCCCAACGTAGGGGGCTGGTTGGGACTCTCGGTCAGAGAGAGCTCCTCCAGAGAGTCGGGGGAGTGAAGAGGGGAGAGAGGAGAGATGGGAGCAGGGGAATCACCCTTCTGCCCAAGTGCTTGAGTAGAGAGGGAGGAGGGAGAATGCAATACAGCACATATCAAAGACATACTCCATTCCTTACAGTGCCCACCACACCTGGGGAGGAACTGCGACTGAAAACATCATGAAGGACGGTTCACAGATGAGACCAGACAAGTGCTGCTAAAACGTTGGCTGTGGCTGGTAGACAGTTCAACACACCGTTTGGTAAATCACTAACCGGGTTCTGCTCGTTCCAAAAAGCCCTGACAGTTTAATGGCAGCCGAGGAACCGAACATCCGCCTGTTTCTTGCGCTCACAGTACACTACAGCAGTGGTTCTCAGTCCTACTTCTGGGGACCCCCTGCACTTCATATTACTCACACCTAATCAGCTAAATCATGGCTGTCCAGCCAATCCAGAGTGGGAGAACAAACGAATCTTAGCTATCTGGGCCCTGATCTTCGGATGCGGCAAACCAATTTAGGCTACAATAATCCAGTTCATTCTTATTCTGATAATTTGGTTCTTTGAATGCAGTTTGAGGATTGATTTGTTAATCCTGGATGACGTTATCTTCTTGTCATTAGACTCCTGTCTAATTGTCAATATTACAATCTGAGAGCAGGAAGAGATGGGAAATAAGCAGTGATGGGGGGTCAAGGGGGTAGTCTCTGGTACAACTTTACCTACTTGGAAGGTGCACTGAGAAGGGAACGCTTTGTTTTAAAGGGTCAAATTTTAAGCAACACTTGCAGTATTAAGCACAAATGTATTGCCAACAGGTCTCCAACAGCAGGACAGTCAGTGGTTCGATCCCCGGCTCCCCTATATCGAAGTGTCCCTGGGCAGAATACTGAACCCCAAATTGCTTGGTGTATGAATGTGTATTTGTGTTTCTGATGGCAGAGGCATCTTAGCCTCTCTCCATCGGTGTGTGAAGAGCACGGTCTCATCTCAGGGCGTCAGATACCGATGCTTTGACAAAGCGTCGGTATTTGACGCATATGGTACCTTTCAGTGTCCGTATGAGGCTTTCAAGTAACTCCTATGTAACCCAACCGCTGTCACGTGATGAACTTATTTCAACCAAAAAAATCACAATCTTTTCTAATCTAACCAAGTAGGTTTGGTGTCTAAACCTAACCAAAACCATGATATTTTACTACTTTTAAACAGATGCTGAAAAGGTACCTTGTGCGTCAAATACCGACTCTTTGTCAGGCTTTTTCAATGCGTCGTATTTAACGCCCTGAGATGAGAACGTGTGGGTGTAAAAAGGGTGATTGTGATGTAAAGTGCTTTGAGTGGTCAGAGAGACTAGAAAGGTGCTTATTATACAAATACAGACCATTTCCTTAACAAGGCCTCTGACATGTTTTCAGGTTTGTCCGTTATCAAAACATTTTACTGAAATTAAAACCCCATTATCTAAACTAGCGTACAGTAAATACAGTAAAGAAAACTGAACAGAAAGTAGTACAGGGGCTCCACCCAGCAAATCATCTGACCTTGGTGGTAAGCCACCCAGGTCCTGATGAACTGACATTTATGACGGACAAAGTGGTAAATATTACTTTTGTTTTCTCTTTAGTAGGCCCAACATTTTCCCATTTTCAGTTCTCAGTTATCAGCCAAACCTACAAAATAAGACAAGCACACCCGGAGTAGGAAACTAATTTACCAGGACTAACATAAACAGCTGTCAATGTGGTTTTGGAGAGAAGACTACCTTCCGCAGTCAAGATTTGGCAGCATTTGTCTGGTTCTCAGGTATAGACCACCCTGCATGGTGGTAAAATCGTTTTTTTGCCCCAGGTCTGGCGCCAATAAACCATGCCTACTGTGTCAAACACAAACTGTTAGTTTACGGCAGATAATGATTCCTCTCAAAGAACTTTTTTAAAACATCATGAAGTATAATAAATTCTACAAACACCAATGTTGTTTCAATCACTGAGGAGAATCATTATTCTTCTACAGCTACGTGTAAAAGTTCAAGTCACTCTACTCTACGACAACAAATCACGAGTCAAAATGCAACACGAGCAAAGTCAAACATCAAATTTACTCTGAACAAAATCCACAAGCATCGTATGTAAATGCTGTCATAGGTGACAAAAATCTACAAATTCTTACATGCAGAGGGATATTTTTGCCACTTAAATGACAAACAGGTTGGGGAGGGGAGTGAACTAAAAAAGTGGTGAAAGAAAATAAAAGCAGCGAGCAGAGAGAACTTGCCTGTAGGGAATTGCATCAGAGGATGAGGCTGAGCTTTAGAAGGAGAAGGTACATCTGTGGAGAAACAAGAGACAGCAGCAGAAAGTGAATTTAGTCAGCATGTAAGCCCAGAAGAAGAAGAAAGACCAGGGGAAGTGAGAAATCATCTTTATCACAAAGAACTGAGGTTTGATGTCAAAGCATGATGTGGAAACCACATCTCTAAACTAACATAATGGTACATGTCAGAAATTCTCAGCTGGGACGTCTTAATTACAGCTTCTGTGTAACATTAGTGTAGTTAAAAGGACAACCAAGAAGGGGGACACCCAAGTGCCTGCAGGGTTTTCTTAACCCACTTTTAGAAATACTGTTTTAGGAAAATCAAAGCCAAGTTGTACGAACCTCAATACCTTTTAAAGACAGTAATTCACAAGATGCTGAAAGTGACGCTGCATGTTTACATTGCTTACTGAACCAGTTCTCTCAGGTATGTGAGCAACTGAAAAGGCTCGGGGTTTCATTTGGTAGTGAGGGGAGGACAGAACAGGCAGAGCACCATAGCAAGACGTGACTGCAGAGAAATAAAAAGAGAGGCAGCTGTCACCATGACACACAGGAATAGAAAGCATTTCCCTCTGATCAGCAGGACGTGATTATACTTAGTGGTCTGTAATCCTCAGATCTGACAGAAGTGCACAACAAGAGGCCAATGTTTCAGCCACATACCAAACAGCCTCGCACACAAAGAAATGCAAATCATATCATGAGCACTTTCAAAGCTTCAGCAGCAACCATAGCTGCAGCACATTGTGACACGTCAACATGACTTCAGTAATTTGATCAGTGATGTTGCCAAAGACAGGAAACCTCCTTCAGAGCTCCCTGTGTTCATCCAACCACAGCAGATGGCTTGTAAAAGGCAAATCAAGCTGAATGAAATTAAGGACAGCGTGCTGGAAAACAGGCCGTTTCTGGTTCTTTAACCAAATTAACTCACTTCTGTTTTATTAAACAGACAATCCAGGTGGTTAAAGTGAGACGCCACAGGAGAAAGATGCTATTAAAAACTCACTTCAGCTATGTGGTGTGGATAAAAACAGACATTCAAGCACCTTTTTCTTCTATCCAAAAACAGACTCTGGTGCATTAATAGTCTGGTGTTTTCAGCCTGTAACAGTGCGCCAGTCAGAACAAAAATAAAACAAAAACTATTATTAATAGCAGTTTCTTTCTTTGCACATAACATAAAATAATCTTTCAACCAGCGAGCTAAAAGTCCAACACACAAAAGACCCAGATTAAAGAGTCCTCAGCTCAAATTTCCAATTTCCTGATCCCTGTAACTCAAAAGCTACAAAGAATACAGAGAGAGCTCAGTCATGAAGCTTCCCACCTGAGAAACCCTCCAGCTGGCAACAAACCAGGTGTGTGGTTTTTCCAGTAGTACCAGAGTTTCCTCCCGTCAGACCTCCTGCTGTCAGCCCCCGGCACTGAGGCCTGGCAGACTGATGTCAGGTTAACTGTGAGAAGGTGCAAATGATCTCTAGATCCCCTCTCCCTCAAACTAAAAGGTATTTAAGCTGTGGTCTAAAGACTTAACCCCTAAAGTCATTAGGAGATACAGACAGGAACAAGTACTGCTGCCTTTAAACGGGGTCCACATGAACGCCCACCTCGTGTGGTACTCCCAACCTCGTAAAAAAGGAAGTTTGCCAACGTTTTCAGAAATGGCAGAGGCCACTGAAGTTCATTTTTCTGGTGGACTGAGAGTTAATATACTGTAATTCTTTGTAAATATCATTTCTTGTTTTTTAAAATACAAAGTCAGCCATCATCTCTGGAAAAGAAGCAAAGAACGACGAGGAGTCTTTTGGCGTCCAGGTTGCGGTCGCCAAGCAGCGACTCATGACTTACCACTTGAACTCCATGCACATCGTGTACACGACTTCTCACGTCGTAACCACGAGCTCACCGGTTCCGTTAGAAGGCAGCGGAACGTTTGCACAGAGCAGCGAACGCTCCTCAGGTTAACGACAGTTAAAACATAATCAACAACGTTTGAACTGAAGATTGATCAGCAAATCTTAGGATCAGTGTGATCAGTATCAGGACAAAAATCAGGCTTTGATGATCACAAATCTGCATCAATCACAAAGTTGATTATCAGAAATACTGGCATAATAACACATAACAAAAGCTTCAGAGAATCAGTTTGTAAACACAAATTGATGCTGATCTTTTAATCTGATCATCATTGGGCCGAAATGATTGAGCACATTAGGTCGTCTGTTTTGGTTACCTCTGCTGTCGAGGTTTATGTTCCAGCCACGGAGAAGAACACCTGCAGGACGGAACCAATAAGACACATTTAACATTAACCTGCAGCAGCAGGTGGGTAAAGTCCTGCAGCACGAGGCTGAAGGGGAACCTACAGGATCCATATGTCCTTCAGTGTTTACATTTAGTCTGAATGAGAACAGATGTTTCTTCTTTCATAGATCCACAGGAACTGTAGACAACTTTCTGGGAATGTTGATTAAGCCATTACTTGTCAACTATTGCATTAATCGACAAATACGATTAATCAGTTTGAGAAACAAAAGTTAAAATTCTGATTCCAGCTTCTTAAATGTGACTTTTTCTGGTTTCTTTCCTCCTCTGTGACATTAAACTGAATATCTTTGGATTGTGGACAAAACCATTGAACACGTCCCACTGGGCTTCGGGACATTTTATAGACCAAACAACCGACTGATTAATCGAGAAATTAATCAACAATGAAAATAATCGTTAGTTGGAGACCTACTAAATTATTAAACTATCGCCACAGATTTGAAAATTACAGATTAATCTGTCTGCTACGACCAAACGTCACTACACATTAACCATCCCGCCGTCCAGGAGCTGTTCCTTCTTGGCCTCAGTGGGAATCAAACCCCCGACCTCGCCAGCTTTGCCGCCTTGCTCTGACTGCACGCTGAGGAATGTGTCTCCTCCTTGAGCTTTAAGTATCTTTAGGAACAGCAGCTCGACACTGACATATGACTTCAGACCAACGACTCACCTGCTGCCATCTTGTAAAGAACGCAATGTACTCCCCCCCCCCCGGTTTAAAATACATCCGTGTCCAGGAGTACAGTATGTAATGTGAGCTAAGAAAGTTAAACATTACCCAGAGCAGGTTCCTGTGGATCCTGCTGGTTGGTTAAATATCTGCAGTGACAGTGGAGTTCAGTCTCTGCTGCAGTCTCCACATCTGCAAAACCAACGCTTATATAATTCTGTTCAACAAAAACCCACTCGTCTGTGGCGTCTCTGGCTGAACCTCCACATTCAGCAGTTTCGGGGGGGGGGGGGGTAAAAAATAAAGTCAGAGCCTTTGTGTTTTTGTGATTCAGCGTTGTTCCATTTGTTTAATCTGCTCCTGTGTGCAGAGGAAGAGGCAAACTCATCCTAACGGCAGGCTGTCTGGACGTCCAGGCTGTGATGACTGCTGCTACTGAACTGTGTGGGACTCAGCGAGCGACGTCTGTTCGTCCACACAGCCCAGGAGGAGGAACCTGGACAGCTAGTCCAGGATGGGAATAATATTCTGACATGATGCATATAATCTCTCTGGCTTTCTGTCGCTGCTGCTCTACAAACGGCCGAGAAGAAACAGCTCTGTCACTTCACTTGTGCAGAGCAGATTGAGCTGGGCTTCCACTCTTTATGCTAAGCTAGGCTAACCCCGTCCTCCCTACAGCTCTGTGCTAAACACACACACGAGATTAATGTCCGAAAGCGTCGGCAGACTTTTCCTGTATTGGTTTTTACTTACAGTATAAGTGACCACAGACTTCAGCCATGTTTGAGTCCTTTACGGTGTAAAATATCCCGCTCATTACATTTCTATGCTTTCATTCCCTGATTTAAGGGTCAGGGGTCATTACCAAAATGTTTGCTCATGTTATGCTCTTAAGTTAAAGAACTCATATCAGCAGATATCATTACTGATCTGGTGATTTGATTGATTTGAGGCCAGACAGGAAAAGATCTGCACCGTGTTTAAACCCAAACTCAGGAAGAGCTGGGTATGAAACGTTCCAGTACTGAAGGCTTAAACTGAATTCTTGTACATTTGTTAATTTGGTAAAGATAGAAGAAGAAATCCATGTTTATATTTCTCTAACTGAGGTATTAAAAAATTTTTTTTAAATTACTTGAGCATCAAGAATGTGACGCCTTCAAGTGATCTGTTCAAAAAAAACAACTGATATTGGACAAAGACGAGCAGCAAGTCATCTCGTTTGAAAAGAAGGCTTCAGAGAATATTTGGCATTTTTCTTGAAAAGGACTGAAAAGATTAATCAATTACAAGGTTCATCACTTTGGGTTTGGCAATAGAAGGCATTGGGTCCATAAGAGTAAGATGAGAAGATATTTTAACACAATTTTGAAGAAATATTCAATGATGAAATATTTGAGTGGGGGCATCCTCCCCCAGATGTTGGAGCATTTAACAGTAAATTTCCTGAATTAATTAATGGTGGAAATGTCTTCATTTAATTAAAGGGAAACACAAAATACCAAAATAATGTTTTTTTAGCTTTAGTAATTGTTTGTTTTGCCTTTATTTAAATTGCATGTTTTCGTATCGTGCTAATTAACCTCTCTCAAAGCTTTTTCATTTGTTGTTCAACATTTCTAGTCACTCAGAACATATTTAAACAATCAATAAGTGACGGGGACAACAGCCATTTCAGAACGTGGTGTCCCCAGTGTCCCCGGTGTCCTCAGTGTAAACGACACCTAAGATCGATGGTGAATTCTGTGGATCAACTAATCGTTTGCACTTTTTCCAAACAAGCCCAGCCCTAAAAAAATAAAATATCACAGAGAGACTCTGAAGAAGCAGAAACGAGCTTCTTAACGGCTAACAGGAAGCACCGTCGTCTTTGTTCTCTGCTGATAAGATGGCTGATTTTGTTTTCACATAAAAAACAGCTTCAAGTCTAAAACCAGCTTTATTGTGATGAATCAGCAAAACGTGGAAATCTCTGAGCTTATCACAGCGATCAGAGATCTGAAACACATTAACATGTGCTTGTCATCGTGTTGAGGGGCTGGACTGAAAGCCAGCTGCCCGGCGTCGACACTTTAGGGTGGAGGGGTCTGAGGCCGGAGCACTTAACCCCACTCACGTCCAGCCTTCACCAGGAAACGGAGACAACAACAACACACGCTCAGCTTTAAGCCTCTGTGACTGAGTCTGACATCTCCCCTCTCCGTCTAATCCACCTGACTGCATCACCAGCTCTCCACAAACACACGCTGACGGATGTAGGCGGCCCAAAAATAAGATGTAGGCCGCCGGTGATCGCAGAAGCCCTGGACGATTACCCAGCATGCCAGTCACGCCGTCTGACACGACAAAAAAACTCCCTTCAACCATCTTTTAAAGGGTGACGACGTGGATCTGTGTGAGGTGAAGTCACAGCAGGACTCACAGACGCTTTGAAAAGACGGCAGAGTGAAGAGAGCCAGTACTGATCCCAGGGCTGCACAATTAATCTAATTATTATCGACATTATAATGAGGTAGTGTTCATCGAGTGGTCTCACACAGAACTAAATGTTCCTTTACTGTTTTACAACTTAAATTATCTCTTAAACTGACAAACATCAGTTGACTACCATAAATATTTATTCTGAAATAAGGTCCTATGGTGGTCAGTCAGAAGGGGAGGGGCTCAGGCTCTCTTTAAAGTCATAAAATGGTGGAAACGCCAGGTAACATTTCCTAAAACCAAGGTGATGTCTTTAAATAGATTGTTTTTTATTAGACCAACAGTCCAAAACCCAAATTTACATTAATTTAACTTCACAGGAGAAAAAGAGAAGCAGAAAACCCCCACAGGCGAGGAGCTGGAGCACAGTCATGTTTGATTTTTCAGCTTTAAAAGTGACTTCATCGATTAATCCAGGTAGCGTGGTAGCCATTATGCTGACATAATCGCTACCACGCGACCTAGCCCGACTCGTTACTGTACTCCAGCTGACAGCGTGTCCAACGTACTAACTCTGCAGACTACAACAACGCGTCGACAAAATGATAGAGACAATGAACAACCAGAATTTCAAAAAGCAAAACCTAATCAGAGCACCCCGACACGCATTCAAGAAAGGTCAAAATAACCTAACTCAAAAAAATATTTAAGTCAACAGTTACTTTCAAAAAGAAACAAGGAACTAAAAAATGTGATGAAGGCTAGAAGTGGCGCTGCTATAATTAGTTGATTGTTGGTAATCAGTTGGCAACTATTTTCATTTTCAATATTTTTAAGAAATAAAAGTGAAACAATTCTGATTCCAGCTTCTTAAATGTGAATATTTCCTGGTTTCTTTGCTCCTCTATGACAGTAAATTTAATATCTTTGGGTTGTGGACATAACAAGACATAACAAGACATTTGAAGACGTCACCTCGGGCTTTGGGAAACAGTGCGTCATTTCCCCCCCCATTTTCTGACATTTGATGGACCAAATAAACTACTCGATTGATCGATGACCAATGAAAATAATGGTTGGTTGCAGCCCTGGCTAGAAGACCATCTCCAGCGAAGGGACAACATTATCATTAGAAGGTGGGAGAGTATAAATGACTGCTCTTTAGTTCAGACTGCATGCTTTAACTGGAGCTGGTGCTTTATCCACCTCCATCAGTGGCCTTGCCAAGCAGCCCCACCCAGCCTGCTTCCTGTGCCTGGAGGAGGCCAGGCAGGCCTGTTTACCTGCTATCTGCCACATCCCAATAAACAAAAACAACAACATCAGCTCGGACTGCACACTTCCTGAGATTACCATCAGTCCAAACATTACCAAATAGCCCAGAGACAGCAGCTAACAGGGGGACACACAAGGAGGCTCCCAGGCCTCTGGAGCTACAATTGTTTTCCGGATTTGGGGTGTTGGTTTGGGTGGAGGTTTAAGGTGGGCTGGGGGGTTAAATGGCTGAAAAACAGGCTGGTAACAGAATAAGAAATACAACACTGATTGAGGGCGTTTAAATTAGTCTGGGAGTAAGGCTGGGAAACAGACAGGGAGTGGACGCAGAGCGGATTCCTTTGTTGTGACTAATCTGCAGCGTTGGTCCACCGTGCTGTGCTAAAGGCCCGGTGCTCCCATTATCGGACAGGTCCTTATACCAACCAACACACTAGCTATTAATTACTTTCAACCGCACAAAATATATATATTTAAATAAAATTAACCTCACACATCGATAATGGGATTTAAATTACCAGATTTCAGATTAATCGACAATTATGTTACATCCAACCTGACCGCTGATACCCGACACCGGAGAAGAGAAACCTCACACCCAGCTCTTTGTATTACATGGCAGTAACACCCCCCTCCCGGGGGTACGTGACAGCCTTTCAGCGCTGTTTCAGGTAACGTTAGTACACAAAAGAGCCAGCCAAATAAATAAAAATAAATAAATACAAACCCCGGCGTGTCCGATAATGGAACTCGGATAGCACGCAACGGGTAGCGGCACCGAGCAGATGGGCGCTGCTCAGTCTGACACAATAATGACATCAATAACGGTGAAAATACTTCAAATATATTCTCCTAATATGGTTAATAAAACACATGACTGGCTTTAGGCTGACGGAGCGAGTTGTTATCACACAGTTTGAAGTCTGAACGGTAAAATAGTGCCAGCTCATGCGGCTCACATTACGCTTCCTGCCGTTTGTTTGTTGAAAACAGGTGGGCCGCATCCCCACAGCACGGCTAACCTGCTAGCTCCCTCCGCCAACATGGCTTCATTTACATATACATTTTAAACAAAAGTTAATAAATACTCGTTTGGTTAAAAGTGTAGGTCGCCTTTTTTCCACAGTAACGTTACACCCAGCTGTCAAACAGCAGGTCGGCTCACCGATGAAAGACCCTCCGGGTAGCATCACCAGCCCCGCTAACCGGCTAACCTCACCGTGACGGAACCGCATTAACGTCAACAATCCGGACAAAACGACCACATTTTATTAAGATTTAACGTACAAATGTGAATAAAGTTGGTTAAACCGACCAAAGGTGGCGCGTAAACCGACTTCTCCCCCCCTCCTGTCGGCGTTAGACCCGGACACAAAGCTAACGTTAATACCGCTGGTTCAGAAACGATGGCAAGAGCCGTTAAAAGCCGTTAAATGAATTTAAATCACACGGATGGAAACTAATAAACTTATCGATCAGTTAAAATGGGTTAAATCTCGCGTCCACGTTCATTTACGGTCTTTTCCCGGTTTAGACACTCACAAGATGCTGGAGCCGGTGGTTCCTCTGTCACCGCAGGACGCTCTGCTGCCTCTGCGGGGGCTGGGGATGCTTTCCGGGGTTCAGCCGCTGGGAGGGCGTCGCTCTTCGGGGCAGGTTCTGGTTCGGGGGCAGCCCGTTCGATCTTTGTGCTCTCCGGTTCGACTTTAGGGGCGACAAATTCAGGCTGCGGGGTAATTAAAGAAAAGCTGGTGGAGTCTGGGGTCGCCGTCTCGACCTCCGGCTCCGGTTCAGGGTGCTTCACCTCTGGCACGGGCACCGGTTGCGTTACGTGGACCGGCTCCGGTAACGTTACGAGCTTCTCTGGAGGATCGAAGGACGTGTCTGTGAACTCATGTGGCGCACCGTCTTCTGCGAAGTGCCGCTCCAAGGCGTCCTTAGCCCCGCCGACCAAGTCCACAATATCATCCAGGTTGAAGCGGTCCGGCTCGGGGTCCGGTCCGGCCTGGTAGTGGTGCACCCCGTCACTGAACAAAGGAGTGGTGGAAGAGACTTGCTGCTCCTCGCTGTCTGCCATTTTTCTTTTTTCCCCGAACTCTCTTCAGTGGGTGGAAAAAGTTTCAGGTCCGGTACTTACTCGGCTCAGGTACCTCGCGTAAAGAAACTTCCACCGGGGATGATCTGTGAGACCGCGCCGGTAACCCCCCTCCGGTAAGTCCGCTTTTAGACACCGGATGAAGTTGGACAAGTGCGCCACACGACAGTTTCCACAGAGTCGGACCCGAGTCTCAGATGGACGCTGTGGATGACAAGGAGACGAGGGGGGGGGACTGCAGTGACCAATGAGCTGCGGCTTAACCTCTGAGTGACACGAGCTGTGGCCAATCACAGCGTGCCAAAGTAGACTCTGACCCCGCCCCACCGGAGCGGAGGCGTTACGGGACGAACGGCTCTAAAAAGTTAGGTGGAGCAGAGTTCAGGTTCCTCCTGCTCCACGCTCTGACCCGCAGCTGTTACACAACATTTCCTTCACTCGCTCCTCCTCCTGCTGCCGACAGATGACCCTCCAACTTACAGGCAGCGGCGGGCAAAGTATTCACATACTTTACTAAAGTACTAATACCACAATCTAAAAGTACTCTGTTGCAAGTAAAAGTCCTGCATTGAAAATTTTACCAAAAGTAAAATCAGGAAACTGTACTTAAATAAAATATTAACAGTAAAAGTACTGCTACCACACTGTAAAAGTACTCTGTTGCAAGTAAAAGTTCTGCATTGAAAATTAAGTAAAAGTACTAATACCACACTGTAAAAGTACTCCGTTGCAAGTAACAGTACAATCAGGAAACTGTATTTAAAATATTAACAGTAAAAGTACTAATACCACACTGTAAAAGTACTCTGTTGCAAGTAAAAGTTCTGCATTGAAAATTAAGTAAAAGTACTAATACCACACTGTAAAAGTACTCTGTTGCAAGTAAAAGTCCTGCATTGAAAATTAAGTAAAAGTACTAATACCACACTCTAAAAGTACTCTGTACTATATCCTGTATCCTGTCAGCTGTATTTTTGTAACTGTGTAAACTTTAATTTTTAACTAAACATCATATTTTATAAACTCTTCGTGTGTTTTGTGTGTAAAAATCTGACTTTGTAAAGAAACCGAAGCTGTCCGATAAATGTAGTGAATTAAAAAGTAAAATATCTCCCAGAGAGATGTGGTGGAGTAGAAGTAGAAAAGAAAATACTCAAATAAAGCAAAAGTACCTCAGATTTGTAGTTAGATACAGAGTAAATGTGAAGAGCGTTGAACATACAACGACAGCAGGAGCAGCACTGTTATAACTGCTATTGGTATCTTATAACAACACATATTTTATAGACTGGTCCTATGCTTTGTATTGGAAAAATAAACATATAGCCTATTTAAGATTGGAAGCCTTTATTTAAACCGGTCAGAGGTTATCAAAAATATTAATATGCAAAGTAAGTAGTTACAAAAAGCTGTCAGATAATGCAGTAAACGTGCAGCATTTCCTTCTGAAATCTGGTGAAGTAGAGGTATAAAGTACCATAAAAGGGATGTTCCAGTGACACACTGTCTGTAAATGACACCAACTGAATTTCAAAAAACAGACACTTCTGTTAACCTATGTAGTAACTTTCCACTAGAAAACAAGTGTTGCATGTTTTAAAAAAGAGAGGAAGAATATATCCTGAGGCAACGTGTCGCTCGGCCGAGGATGACTAATCACAGGGTTTCACAATCCGTTTCAGACATGCTGCATTCAGGGAACACGGGGACAAAAAATACGCCAAATGTTTTTGTCTCGCACTTCATTTTGAATTGTTGAAATGTTTTGCAGATGATCTCCCTCTGTAGTTTTTATTATTCTCTTCTTATGCTGCTTCCTGTTTTCAGCCCAGTCTCCCCACAAAGATCAATAAAGTTTCTTCAGAGAAAGTTGGAGCTTGAAGCTGCAGAGGCTCGAGGTGTGTAGAGTTACACAGCATGCTGACACAGAGTCTGTACGTAACATGTGATATATATATATATATATATATATATATATATATATGTGTCTGTAAGTATATACGGCTGCTTCAGAGATCATATGTGAGAAAGACAGCCAGAAGGTGAAGAGGATATTTATGTTTTTTTATGTCATCCATGATCTGATTTTATCTCCTAACGAGCCCGACTTCTCCTCATCCTCTGAGCCTCAGTAAACACTTTCCTGATGAGTTTATGGTCTCAGTCGCTAGTTTCAAGTCTTCTTCAACACAGCGTGATGTTCGTTACATCTAGTTAAAGATGTAAAGGAAACCTTTAATGGGTTATTTGAGCATTTCTTTGAAACTTCGGGTGACACAGGAGGGGCTTTTAGGGGAGTAGTCCACACAGTGATTCACATCTAACAAGAGAAAAGCAACTGTCAGAATCTGAAAACTTACGAAGAGTGAAACTAGTTTAGAGAGTGAAAGTTTAGACGGTTTGTGTTTGAGGTTTCATAGTGGTGACAAAGCCTTACTGAAAATATTCTGGATGTGTAATTCCAGTCTGATTATGTAAAACTATATTTTAAGTTCAAAACTGCAACCTGTTTGTTCTTAACTGAGCTCTAAAGGTTTTATTTCCACCTGGATCCGATTAATCTCATGCTGTGTATTTTATTTACAGACACAGGAAATGAAACCTGTACGGAAGCAAAAAATAGACAACCTATCTCACACTAGAAAATGGTAAAGTTGGAAATAGCCTATATTCACAGATTCGAGCTTCCGGGATCAATAACTCATAAGCAAAATGTGTTTAAAACACAAACGACGCCTTTTATTTATTATCGTAGTTAAGTAGACAACAAGCTACAAGTACATTTTCACATAAATGAGTCTTCCTAGGAGCAGAACAAATGACATCAGTCTCTACGTGCAGCCTGCTGTGAGACGAGTCCGCAGGGACCGTCTACAAAGTGCAACACCGAAAACACATTCTGCAGAGATATTCAATAACTTCACACTTATACAATATAGTGCCCCCAAAATCACCTTACACATTCATGATATACTGCTGGTTATACTACAACACTTAGTTTCGGGGGAAAAAGACTTCTGCATACCTTATATTAGGTAGGCCTATTTTTAATATTCAATAACTACACTGTTAAAGGCTGTAGTGTCTCAAAATTCACCCCAGGTATCAGTGATCTCATGTTGATGATACAACGCTTAGTTTGTAGAAATATAGTTTTGCATAATTTGCAAACTTACTGAAGCTAACGGTTACTGAAGCTAATATTACTGTAACGTTACTGAAGCTAACGTTACTGAAGCTAATGTTACTGTAACGTTACTGAAGCTAACGTTACTGAAGCTAATGTTACTGTAACGTTACTGAAGCTAATATTACTGTAACGTTACTGAAGCTAACGTTACTGAAGCTAATGTTACTGTAACGTTACTGAAGCTAATGTTACTGTAACGTTACTGAAGCTAACGGTTACTGAAGCTAATATTACTGTAACGTTACTGAAGCTAACGGTTACTGAAGCTAATATTACTGTAACGTTACTGAAGCTAACGTTACTGAAGCTAATGTTACTGTAACGTTACTGAAGCTAACGTTACTGAAGCTAATGTTACTGTAACGTTACTGAAGCTAATATTACTGTAACGTTACTGAAGCTAACGTTACTGAAGCTAATGTTACTGTAACGTTACTGAAGCTAATGTTACTGTAACGTTACTGAAGCTAACGGTTACTGAAGCTAATATTACTGTAACGTTACTGAAGCTAACGTTACTGAAGCTAATGTTACTGTAACGTTACTGAAGCTAATGTTACTGTAACGTTACTGAAGCTAACGGTTACTGAAGCTAATATTACTGTAACGTTACTGAAGCTAACGTTACTGAAGCTAATGTTACTGTAACGTTACTGAAGCTAATGTTACTGTAACGTTACTGAAGCTAACGTTACTGAAGCTAATGTTACTGTAACGTTACTGAAGCTAACGTTACTGAAGCTAATGTTACTGTAACGTTACTGAAGCTAATGTTACTGTAACGTTACTGAAGCTAACGTTACTGAAGCTAATGTTACTGTAACGTTACTGAAGCTAACGTTACTGAAGCTAATGTTACTGTAACGTTACTGAAGCTAATGTTACTGTAACGTTACTGAAGCTAACGTTACTGAAGCTAACGTTACTGAAGCTAATGTTACTGTAACGTTACTGAAGCTAACGTTACTGAAGCTAATGTTACTGTAACGTTACTGAAGCTAACGTTACTGAAGCTAATGTTACTGTAACGTTACTGAAGCTAATGTTACTGTAACGTTACTGAAGCTAACGGTTACTGAAGCTAATATTACTGTAACGTTACTGAAGCTAACGTTACTGAAGCTAATGTTACTGTAACGTTACTGAAGCTAATGTTACTGTAACGTTACTGAAGCTAACGGTTACTGAAGCTAATATTACTGTAACGTTACTGAAGCTAACGTTACTGAAGCTAATGTTACTGTAACGTTACTGAAGCTAATGTTACTGTAACGTTACTGAAGCTAACGTTACTGAAGCTAATGTTACTGTAACGTTACTGAAGCTAACGTTACTGAAGCTAATGTTACTGTAACGTTACTGAAGCTAACGTTACTGAAGCTAATGTTACTGTAACGTTACTGAAGCTAATGTTACTGTAACGTTACTGAAGCTAACGTTACTGAAGCTAATGTTACTGTAACGTTACTGAAGCTAATGTTACTGTAACGTTACTGAAGCTAACGTTACTGAAGCTAATGTTACTGTAACGTTACTGAAGCTAATGTTACTGTAACGTTACTGAAGCTAACGTTACTGAAGCTAATGTTACTGTAACGTTACTGAAGCTAATGTAGCTAATGTTACTGAAGCTAACATTACTGAAGCTAATGTTACTGTAACGTTACTGAAGCTAACGTTACTGAAGCTAATGTTACTGTAACGTTACTGAAGCTGAAGTTACTGAAGCTAATGTAGCTAATGTTACTGAAGCTAACATTACTGAAGCTAATGTTACTGAAGCTAATGTAACTCAAGCTAATGTAACTGAAGTTAACGTTAGTGAAGCTAATGTAGCTAACTGAAGTTAACGTTACTGATGCTAATGTTACTGAAGCTAATGTAACTCAAGCTAATGTAACTGAAGTTAACGTTAGTGAAGCTAACCTTACTGAAGCTAATGTAACTGAAGTTAACGTTACTGAAGCTAACCTTACTGAAGCTAATGTAACTGAAGTTAACGTTTCTGAAGCTAATGTA